TCTACAGCCTAACTTGTCAATCCTGGTAAACAGCAAAAGATCTCTAAATCTTTAGTGATTTTGAAAACAACACATGGAGCTCTGTTTGTGCTTTGCATTTACCATTGTTACCATGGTTACATTTGTTGTGCTTCTTGCTTTGGTCAGCTTGCCTCCTGCTTGGCTATCGAGTTTTTCCATATGACCTCGGACAGCGTGTATGGTTGACTGTACTTGAGGATCTCTCTGCATATAAGAATTTTGGGTCAAAGTATTGAACAAAAGTAACAAGTTTTAACTGTCTGCTTTCACACATGCTACCCATCTTTAAAAAAAAAAGATAAAAATTTGGTCAAATTTCCTGGAGCTGGGTACATGTGTGAAAAGGGATTTTTGCTCTTCGAGGTGTGGTTTCTGAACACAGGAAATGAATCAAAAAGAGAGTTGTTGAAGGTAAACTATCTGAACATGAGCCACTGAAATGGTTCATGACCAAACTCAGCCATAGTCACTGAGAGAAATTACAACAAGAAGAGGACAAAAAAAGGTACCAGTTATTAAGAAAGTTCTGGTGCGCTAAAAATGTCCTAGCTTAATTTAGAGGTGGTGGTACTGCATCTCAATTCAATGTCTGTGTAGATACATTTGTGTCTTCTTCTTGTTTTCACCTTTTCAAAGCTTAATTGGAGAATAACCCTTATTTTTTTTTTATTGATGGCCAAATAAACATCAACGGTTTACAGGATTTCAAATTAAATCAAAGGAAACTTACTGAGGAACTTCTATTTTTTTTTTTTACAGGATTAAGACACTCACCCAGGCTGGTTTCTCCTGTCAGGATTGCTGGCTGGTGTCAGTCCAAACTGCTGTTAATCAGTTTGATGTTCTGCTGGTGGAAAATAATTGGAGTGAAGAGAAGCCATATTATCTAGCCTGAGGTGCTAACTTACCTTTACAGAAAGGAATGCAATCATTAGCTCTGGAAGTCATTTATCTTCTGAATCTGTGTGCTCTTCTCTCTGACAGAGACCAACTGTACTGAAGGTGGAGTGTTGAAAAAGAAGTTTCATCAGTAAGATTTAAAAGATTAAGGTGACAAATAAAAAATTTCAATAGCTCAAATTTAAGATTTTTGTATGCATTCATCTATTTTTTTGGTTTGAAGCACTCAGTTTTTTAGGGTTTAAAGATGTCAGCTAACTGGTGATCTCAAACTCTTCATAAGAGTTTCTCTCACACAGTCAGACAACAGCTGTGTGATTACTGCCTGTAATGTTGTGGGGCCCCTGTAGGGACTTTTCATTAGCAATGACCACGCCACAACGATATGCATTTGAATATTTAATGGAAATTTAGGAGTGCGTGACTGATGTATTTATGTCTGGGAGGTTCAGAAGAGGCCCATCAGGGAGAGACTTGGGATGGGGGTTTGGTCTCAGGCTTCGTTATGCCCGAGCTTATTTGAATGTGAGTTTGACACAAATCACCAACATTTTTTGTGTGTATGCCTGACCATCCTCTGAGAAGGATTCGATCTGATTTACGGAGTCTGGCTGCTGTGGATGCTGTGCCAATGAAGAATGAATGGGCTGAGTAGTGCTCTGAAGTTATGCCTGATATGTAAAGGACCTGATGCAGATGTTTATGGAACCAGAATGATGCTGCCATTTTTACGGTTTCAGTAGGTGGAGTGATAATGGTGAAGTGACAACAAGAAAATTGCCAAAATGATGCAGAATGAAAGAAGGCTGGAGTTGTCTGTCAAGATCCAGCACACAGAACTTCACAAAGGGAGTCAAAGATCTTTGGGCTGTTTCTGTTGCTGAAAGTGAGGCATACCACAAAATAATAGGCTCCTTCCCAGCAGACTCCACAGTAACACCAGAAGTGGGGGCATATGGGTAGCACTTTGAATGCGCTTGTGATGTGTCCTTTGTAGAGCAAGGCTCCCGTGTCTGCCAGATGGATGAGAGTGATGGCATGGTCAATTGATGCATAGACGATATTGCATAGAGGAACATGGAATCATGGTGTTGATGCTGGGGATGTGTGAACCATGTGGGGAGGAGAGGTGATCAGCCTCTTTTTGCCAGAGTATTTCCAGGTGGCTGTGCCAATGGGGCTGACCCGTAACAAGGGGAAAGATGGTGCATTGAATTGGCCTATCATAAATTCCTTTTTGACCTCTTTTGGTAGCTCATTTGAAAAAAGTGGTACATCTCATTTCTTGGCTAATATTTTCCTGCCCATGTCCAGGGAGAGTTTTTGATGTAAACTGTCACTTTTTTCTCTTAACAGTAAAATGTAAAACAAATTGTGGACTGTGTTTATACACAGTTTTATAACATCACATTATGTAGGATATAATCCAGAACTTCTCTTCCCTCCTCAGTGTGTGTCTGTGTTGCCAGTATTTTATATGTAAATTAATGACCATTTTTTAAAATGAAATCATCATGCAAGGGTTCCCAAGGTTCCTGGGTTGTTAGAAAGTACTTCTCTCAAGGCTTTTTAAGGGGTGGCTCTTTTACCCCAGAACTAAATTTAGACCCCAGTTCCTGTGGACAGAGCTCTTCCTAAGATCCCTATAGTTCCTGGAGAAAGTGCCTCCAGTCAAAAAGCACATAAAATTATCAATATTTTATTACTATAGCCATGAAACATTGCCTTGGGTGTAAACAATAAGAGATGACATATCACCACTCAACTGGTGCAGGCATGTGGACATTGACCAGTAGGGGGGACTGAAGGTTGTTGGTGCTAGCTCTGCCACACTTTGAAATTCGTGTTAGATTAAATTAAGAGTTATATATTAAACACGTTCATGAACCTATAAACAAGCAGCTAAAAGAACATTTTCCACAGTACAATCAAAGACTCAGTGATCCCATAAGTAGCTGTGTTAAATAATTTGAGCATGTTTTTTTTCAAGTTTCACATTTAGACACACACACACACACACACACACACACACACACACACACACACACACACACACACACACACACACACACACACACACACACACACACACCAATGGCAAAAGCTGCAATACAACATGGCCACTGGTAACAAAAATCCCACTCACATGTCACTGAGTATTCCACCTGAAGCAACCATGAGTCTGATTTACATGCTTTCCTCCTGTTTTTGTTCTGTGGTTTGTTACACCATTGTGAACTAACAACAATCTGCAAAGAGGTTCTTGGATCAAGATTCTGTTCATCTCTTTAACTCCCTCAATTATATCTAATAATTGTGCATAATAACTACTTTAACATTGTGTGCTGGTGTCAGTCCTTGCCTCAGAAGTGAATGTGAAACGGTACAGACTGTACGCTTCACATTCAGAGCAAATCAGAGCTCTAGTTCAGATGAAGCACCTCCAGGGCTGAACATAATGATCTGTAATGCTGCAAAAGAGCATCTGAGGACAGAGCAGGAGCGTACACAACAACACACCCACACATCCTCTGCTTGCCTGCACGCACAGCTGCACATACAGTAAACCAGCATTCACTCATTCTGTATCCCATTATTACTATCTAATCTATATGTTAGTAAAGTCAAGTGGTGCTATTAGGTGAGGCTCCAGCAAAATATGTGGACAAAGAGGTTAGTTACGTTTAAAACTTGGCAGAACATCTGAAATGAATCACTTCAACAGAAAACAACAATCACAAAAATAAAAAAAAGTCTTTCATTTTTTCAGTGATTTGTGACACGACAGTCAGTGAAACTCTCATAGTCGTGCTGCTGCTCACAGTTTTGGGAATCAGTTTCACCTGACAGAGTCACAACATTCAGAGTATCCAATCATCTTCAGAGTCAATGAAAACCATGGAAACCAGATCAATAAACACACACAGCTGGATATTTTTCTTGTTTTAAACTCCACTACAACTATCCTGACTGATTATGCACTTTGGTTTATTTGGTACTTCAACCTGTTTTCTGAACCCCTTTTACGGCCTGCAGAGCAGAAATATGGATGAGCTGCTTCGCCCCCGGCCAGAGCAGAGCCTGATCCAGGATTAGAGACACGTTTCCACTCTGAGGGGAAACATGTTAACCCCTTCAGACCCTAAGGTTATGACACATGATACTAAACGTGCTGAACTTAACCATATACTTTACTTTGTGGAATAACAGCTGCAAGTATTGCTGGGGCAGTTGCTACTTAACCCTGTTTCCTGAAGAGAAAACCTGAGAAGTGACTGAAAACTCAGGATTAGTCCACAGACGCTCACTTAAATTTGTCACATAATTATCTATGTGTAATTTGACCATAGACACATAATCTTTTCCTGCATTGTACCTTTTTTTAAAACAGATACTTTAAGCAATATACCTGGACCCTGGAGAGGTAGATAAGATCATTTGCTAAGTCTGGTACCTCTCCATCTTGTGCTTTTATATCACAAGTAGATTTTTATTGTTTTATGTGGAACTAAGTTGGTAGAGTCTGTCTGGAGAAGCTGCTCAGGATCCCTACATGATAATTAAGCTATGAACAGCTGCAGACAACACCACAAACATTACACTCATAATTCATTTTAAGGAGTCTTGAAAATGATCATTTCAGTTTAATTTTAGGACCTTTTTCACTGCAGACGACCCTTTGCCTCTGCATCAAGCTGTATGATACACAACAGCCAAGTGCACCTATACAAGTCGTGCAATATATTCTGCCATATGTCAGCTGTTGCTCGGAGAGTGTTGAAGCCAGCAGACTGAAATTAAACTTCACTTTCTGGGGATATGAAGTCAAGTTGTACCTATTGAGACAAGTTTTCTTTACCAGTCAAATCTAAAATGACTTTAACTACAGGAGCTCTATGTTCTATAGAGCCCTGGTACCTGGCACAAGGTGTTCCAGCTAACAGCACAAGAGTCATTGTTACTCGCTGCCTTACAGACTTGTCAGTTTTAAAGCTCCTGTGAGGAGAATTTTGGTGTTGATGAAATGGTCTGAATTTCATATTAAAGCTGTTCCATGATGAAGAAAGGCAGACACAATCATCGGTGACAAAATTTTTACTTAGTAATTTTGATGCCTAAAACCAGAATGAAGGCGTCAGTCAAGCACAAAAGAAACAGCCCTGTTTTTACAATTTACACATAAAATATTCACAAGAAATGATACATTCAGTTGTCAAAGTCAGCAGAATGAAAGTTTTGTCAAAAGTGATTAATTTTGACAAAAGTGATTACTAGGGCATACAGAGAATAAGGTAAGCAGAGACTGATTTGGCCACAGGGGGGCACCAAAACTGACACAAACAAGCACCAAGGCTGTGTAAACTCTGCTCTATGTTAGTCCTTAGAAAAGTATGGTTGGGCGTAAATGCTCTGCAATTTCTCATTTCTTAATTTGGAAAGTCACTGGTCATTGACTCTATTCCACTTGGACAAGAAAGTAAAAAAGCTGACATCTGCTGTGTAGATAGCGACACACCTGTCTGAGGGCACACCTGACTTTTAAAGGGAATAAGACCAAACACTCTGATTGGTCTAATTCAGGTTGCACTTAATACCTTTGAATAATCAAGGGATTTAAAGGCACTGTTACAGGTTTTTAATTGGTTAAGAAAAAGGCTGAAACTGACTGATTTCTGTCTGAGATTTATGAAACTAAATGGGACCATCAACAAGAAGGCAGAAAATTTCTCTAAAATAATTTTTACTGCCTGAAACGGCTGTGAGGGGGTAGGTGTTGGACCACATGATGTACAACAAGCTGAGTAAACACCCTAACAACTTGTTAATATTTACAGTGAGCAATGCATTTCACTTTCAAAAGAAAGCAGAAGAAGATTTTTGTCTGGAAAGGTTAATTTTACTTTTGTTGGACAAAAAGATTAGAGACATAACTTTGTCAACCGGGGGCGCCCAAACTCACACCAACAAAAAGTTCTTCATAGCAGCTTTAAACTAACCTTCTGGCCCCCAGTGCCTCACTTAAAACTGACGCTGTACCCCCTGTAAAATAAAAATGTGGTCATGTTTACCCTACGTACCGGATCTTTTAAATAGGGCCCTTGATTTGTGACAGTATTCGCAGGTAACTTGTGGTCTTGTTTAGGTGTTGGTTTTGACTGTATGATTAATTTGTAAATAAATGTCAGTTCTTATGAGGTCATGGTTTTTAAAGCCGACTGATAAAGTGTGCTAGACAGAAACAGTGCTGAAGACTCTGCATGTAAATTCTGCATATCTCTTGCTGCTAAAAAAGAAGAGACATCCAAATATGCCAAGGTTTCGTTTCTGATCTGTGGCAGGCTCACAAGACAAACAGATGATACCAAAACGCAGCAAAGTGACATGCAGTAAACACACAAATCAAGGGGAAATTCCAAAACTGTACGTGCTGTAAAAATACACAAGCAATGATAAAACTAAACTGACAAATGTGCCCCCATGCTCCAGTGACTCTCTGAGGGGCTGAACGGCATGGGAATGAGCTTTTAACAGAGGAACGGGGGAGGAAGAAAGGAGTCCCATTGCGAAAGAGTTGAATTACCATATCAGTGAGGAGCAAATACAAAGCTCCTTGAGAGCGGCAGGGGATCCGTCATCCAGTGAAGAGCGGCGTTGAAATGTGGATATTTCTGAGCGCTCAGACACCACACACTGGTAATAAGCAGTGGGGGAGATCACACACTTGTTTAAAGCTCTCACAGAACAGAAACCAGGCTGCACTGAGACACAAACCTGAATACAGAAAAATCTTTGGTCAATCAAAGTAGATTTCACCGAACTCCATAAACAAACTCATGATCAAACATTCCATAATCTAACCAGCAACAACAACAGCAGCAACAACACTTTTATACAAATGATCAGGAGTTAGTAGCCCACGTTTCCTCGAGCCATGCAGTATCCCAACTTGTTCTGGTTTCCAAGGAAAGACATGAGGCCAACGTAGGCGTCAATGTGGATCTCCTGATTTAGCAATAGGACGCCATTAGCTTTCCCAGGAACTGGCTTCATGATGTGGACTTTCTGTGCCGCCTCTTTGAGCTTCTCACGAAAACTGTTGATCTGTGAAAAGTGTGGAGACAGGATCAAAATTCAGCTTGTAACATAGATACTTTTTAATGTTCCTCTATAAAATACAAGTTAGTTCTTGCAGATCAAGTCCTCACATTTTAAAGACACCTTTAGGATTTTTAGGTCCCAAAGGTGGTCTAACAGATTAATGTGTCTATCTCCATAAGATTTAGTCACTTGAATCCATCTGAAAGGGCCTTTGAGTCAGCTCAGTTTAGTGGCAACTTTGCACAACACTTCACACTTTTAAACAGAAAAAACAAACAAAAAAAACACATTTACAAGTTAATTCATCAGTATTAGACAAATAACCAAATACTCAAAAATGATGTCCCATCTTAATTCTCGCTGTCGTGTCCTTATTGTCTTGCCCCTGTCACTAAGTCATGACCAGTTCTAAAAAGCATCTGTTTCCCACCCTATTGGCCTGACAGTCTGAACGCATGTCCTATGTATTCAGGCTCCACCTTTTCCACTGACCTGTCCTTTAAAAATAAAAGCTAATTCCTGAAAATTATATTTGAAAAAGCAGCTTTTAAAATAAAGGGGTAGTTCAATGTTTTTATGTGACCTTGTATGAGTCACATGTAGCTAGCTAGAATCCTTTTCAACCAGAGTGGCTCTGGAGCTAGATCTGGGCTGGAGCTGGCTCATAGATGGTTCAAATCCAGAACTATCTCGAACCAGTTTGGTTTTCCACTGGCAAGGGACGCAACAGAACCATCTCATTACATCACTGCATGTCTTTTACTCCCAGAGACTTGCTGCAGGGTTTAAAAACATACAAATAATAACAATGTACATCTGGAGACAGGGTTTTCTCCTTAAAATCTTAAATGAAAAATCGTGATTGTCTTATATTTGGGGTCTTCACTTGCCAGTTCAATGTCTTCACTTGAATGGGGAGGATTGACAATCATCTGGAGTGCAGCGTGCATGAGTGAATCCAAAGCGTAGCATAAAGCAAGTGAAGCATCAATCAACATTACATCAGTGTCCTAACCACATCAGATACTGCTCAGTTCATCCCCTTTGATGATGAACTGTGTCAGGTATAATATAGTTTCCTGCAGGTGGGGCTGATGCTGTCCAACATTTAGCTAATTGGAGCCAATTGGAGTCTGTGCACATTTCTGATGACTTAAACAGGCCCTACTGATCATCACTTTAGACCACTACTCATACCTTCAACACAAAATGACCCATCTACTGTCATCAATAAATGGTCTGCTGCCAGACAGGGCTTACTGGTGGTTTCGCGTCCTTATTAATCTTTTCATTCTTAGAAAATGTTTTTCCTGCTCTTTGCACACCTGTGTCAGGCTCAGGTGTTAGTCAACATCCGTATGTCCATTTAAAGATTCTCTCTCTTTGTTTCATATCTACAGAAACACAACGTAAGAAGTGTCTAAAACATTACCCAACAGTGAACACCTTTAAAACAACACAGTTTATGGTTGGTTCATTCTTTTTTCCTCCTCACGCTGAGTCACCTGCTCACTCATGAACATCCTGATGATGTTGAAAGTCCCATAAAAGTTTTACAAACATGCTCTAGTTAAGAAACTGATTCCTGATATGAGCTCAAATTCAAACCAAAGAAAAAAAATAAACAGTTTGACTTTGGTTTCATATTTATCTTAATTAAAACCTGATGAGACTGTACTGTCTGAAGATCCAGATGTATCTCGGCTTGGAGTGTTTCATGAGATGTCTGAAGTGACAGATTACACATGATATTATCTGAGGCTTAGTTCCAGTAAGTCTTTTCTGTGGAATGACTCATCTGACCACATTTTAAGTGTCTGCATGATTCTCACAGCACACACCTCCACCTGCATTAGTCACTGAACAATCAAATCAAATCACAGATTTCAACAGAGACTCTCTGACAAGTTAAAAGTTCATTCTACCCTGATAATAAACTTTCTCTTGGAGGTAAACACTCCTGCAGCTGCCCTTGAGTTTGAGATCTATGTGCAGAGATGTTCAGAGATATGATGCTCACACCATTGTTAATTTTGAAAGGAATGGTCCCAAAGTTAGAAACGTAGTACACTACAAAAAGTCAAAACAAAACAAAACTTTTAGATATTACTTAAATCAAAGTTATAAATACAGTGTGTTGTGATACAAGTTTGATATAAGTTATGAAATCTCAATAAAATAGAGAAACAAGACTTAAAGATTCCACATTTGGTTTATCTGTTGTATCCCATCATCAGCATAACAGAAAATAACAAAAATGTCATCGAAAAATTTATTACTTTAAAACCTAGATAAAAATAAAAATATGCTAAACAACTTTAAGAGAAGCTGCTTAATCACAAGACTGAGTAATAAAAGCAAAGGAGCAGCATTTGTGTTGTACCTGGTAATAAGTCATTTGTGTTCTAAAGCTAAAATGCTACAAAACAACCCCTTCAAATTAGTGCAATGTCTGCTCAAATGAAATCTCTGATCTTTTTCCAAAAAAAAAAAAAAAACTCCATTTACAATTTTTATCTTTTTTCTCTTTTTCTAAAAACTATATTATGAATGACAAGGACATGACTCCAAAGACTGTAGTTTGTTAGTTAGAAGTCTAACACTGCAAAACCATTCATTTCAGTTCAAACAGACTGACGAGACTAAGGGCTCTATTTTCGTGTCCGCCGGTGAGGCGGCGGAGGGTGGCGGACCCCCTGCAGCGGTATTTTCGTCTGGCGGTGCACGGCATACAGCCAGTTTGGTATTTTCGTGGACTGAGGCGCACCGAGGTCCGCCAAGCTGGGCGTGGTGGCATGGCAGAGGGAGGTGTCGACAGAATCAGCTGGCGCAGTGACATTTTTGTGCTCGCCAAAGGCGTGTAAAGAGCGCTGAAAGCTCGCTGATTCAAACCTGGTCAGCTTTCAGCGCAGGTAGAGCACAGCTGGTCTAGTGGTATTTTGGTAGACCGGCGGCGTATCGGCATATGTCACCGATGCCTCACCGTTAGGTTTCCACAGTGTCAGGCTCATTTCAGTGCAATAAATAATCATCAACAACTATTATTCTGAGTCAGCACATACATTTAGATCTATATCGATATATTCTGATCTATATCTGATCTGATGAGCGCGTTTGGGCACACAACCTGACCGTATCAACACAGCTGAAACCGCATTAAATTAAATTAAATATCTAGTAAATAAACACACATGATGAAGTTAACAAAATATGTAATTCATCTCCCTCCTTTTTTTTCTTCCTCTTCCTCTTATTTCTCGCGCAGCTCAACCCGGACATATCTCCGTGTCCTCTCCCCGTCTAGCCGCAGCTGCTGCTGGGGCGGCTGAACAGATGATTTGTTTCAGTGATCAGATAAGTTAGTTACTTTAAGCCGACATACGGATATTATGATATTCAGTTTTGTGAGCCAAATTTATTTATATGCCAACATCTATGAAAGAAAGAGCCAGGCCATGGAGCGCGATGCGTTCTTTACGCACAGATGGTTCCGATTTTAATGCCATTTTTGGAATTTATGTTGTGATCTCTGGGAACAACCCATCATTGTCACATGGGGTTTAAATATGCAACTTCATATGATTGTCTTTATTTGTGGAAAAGGGTGTTTGTCTTACTAGTGGGTCTAACATTACACACACCAAATCCATCTGTGCTTATATGAGAGAGTGTGGAGGACGCCCAATGCAACGTTTACAGTGACACTTGTTGAGGAGCTGCCTTCTGTCGCCATCATGTAGCATTACTGTCTTCAGACATCTCTTGAGCTCTTTGACGACTTCACGAAAATAGTAATACGCCTTGCCGGTGGCGGATTTAAAGGCGAGGAGAGGAGATTTCTCCAGGTTTCTGTGGGCATTGATTACTTCTTCGGTTGTTATTAGCGTTAATGTATTCAACATGTTATATCTGAAAATATTAAAACCATAAAACAAACACTTAAATAGTTGGAAGATAGTTAAGATGAACTTACATCACAGAGGGACATGAGCTCCTCACTCATGTTTCTCACAGGATGGTAGGTGAAGGTGATGAAGGGGTAGTCTGTAGCAAAGGGGTTCCACCTGGAGGTAAAGGAGGGCTCTCTGAGCCGGTCCCAGTGGACCCTCACCCCATCTCCATCTCGCCTAAAAACACAAACAACAAAGTAAAACTAAAATGTATGACTCAAGCATGTGACAAAATCCAGATTCAACAGTCTATACTATTACCAAATGCTGCTACAAAGATGTTAAAGAGGTAACTATTATGTTTGATCTGGAGCTTTGTGGCCTGCAGACGCAGCTGTCCACACTCCAAGCTTCATTTCTCTGACATTTTACCCCAACAGTCCCGGACTTGTTTCCATTTGTTTTGCAGGTTTGGTTAATGACATACACTTCTGCCAATGCTGTGTTGACCTAGTCACAGTCCTTGTGCAACAACACTGCACTTTGCACACAGTACCTTGGAGGACATTTTAAGGTGGTGCGAAGAAAATGCTCCAATCAAAGGCAGGTCATGCAGGCAGCCTTCATGAGTACAGGAATGCACAGAATGGGAAGTGTATCTGAAGCCTACTTGCCTTATGACCTGTTCCCAAGTCTCCCCTGCAATACGTTTTATTTACATTTGCTGGGGTTATCAGTTATTCAAGAAATGAACCCCAAATGAACCACATAATGCATGCCCTACAAGTCTTTGTGTTTGTTTTCCTCGCGCCACATTGCGGACACAAGAAGAGACATTTATATATTTTACAGCAAATACAAATACATTGTAGTGTCAAAGTTCAGTTTTAGGCACTGCTCTACTTTTTTCTGACTGCCCCCAGTCTTTAAATTCTTAACAGTGTTTGTTTGCAGAGATTTAACAAGTCTTGATACTTTGCACCTTCATTGATCATTATTTGGCTTTCACATCAGCGAACACTCTCCTTAAATATGGTCGAGTGAACCTGCTAGTTCAATGGAACAATGCGAGAATATTACAAGAAACAGTGCTAATCTGTCCTCAGGGCAATATTTAATTTAAGAGCTATCTCATGTTTACCAGAATTAGAGGTAATCTACAGAGTGTTCATTAGATTCTTTCTTCTCCTTTTCCTTTTTTTGGGTCGTTTTAAAGTAAATACTGTAGCTTTAATGAAATTACCCTCAAGTCATATCTTTCCTCAGCTGAGTGAAACCTCAGAGGACTGAGAGCAAACAGACCAAAAACACTCACAGATCCCATCTTTGAAATGATGCTGGTGTTGATCTACAGGCTGTGAAGATCCTTACTGCTCTTTATTTACACTTCGTCCATCACATTTAGTCTGGGGCTCTCCTTGCTTTAGGACTGTAAGATCTGGGGGTAATACAGTATCTTTGTTTTAGTTCAGGGAGTGAAAGGTCACAGAGAGTTCAAAACATCCTCCTTGCTAGCGTTGCTTTTCTGCAGAAAACTCCAATAAACCTGAGCTCAAACCAAAACGAGATTTGCCAAAGTTTAAGACAGAGCTCTGGATTAACTGAAGTTCACAAATGTGTACTTGTGCATCCAAATGTCTCGCCTTCAATACCTCTCAGACTGAGGACATAAGATTAGTGATTCCTGCCTTTAAAAATGATCTAGTTTTAACAAGGTTTGGTGAGTACTTATTTGTGAAGCTTGAATATTTGACAATTATCATCACAATCAATGATAAACCTGCCAATCAACATCAAAATAATATGTTACCATATACATGATTAATCAAGTTCATGGCTTGTGAAGCAAAGAGTGGTTTCTATTTACATGTTTCTGGGGCAGTCCCAGTTTCACTACAGATATGAAGTTCTGCCTGGCTTACTTCACTGAAATTCTAATACCAGCCCGAATAATCCACCAAGGCCGATATTCCCCTAAATATCACAGTACAGATTTTAAATTACATAGAATCTCTAAATACAGATTTCTATTTAACTTAAATGCTGTGAAGTTGGCACTCCTGTTAGACTGAAACATCAGGACAAAGTGACCTCTTCTTTGGTATCAAAGGCTGCCTGCATTATCTTCAGCACTCCTAGCGGCTGGTGATTCAGTGACTTCCGTCAGGTTAGAGCTAGTGTGGCATTAAGCTGCTCACCTTCAATATAGAACTAATCAAACTGACCAAATTAATAGCTGTTTAAACAAGACTGATGACTGTATCATTTATTGATAGCCTATAACAAAATGTTTCCGCATGCCACCTCTCACTCTGCCTATCTCCCTCTCCCTCCCACCTTTCCCTCCTGCACAAATCCAGGTCCCTTGCGAAAGCTAAACTTATCCTGTCGGACCCTTGCCATCCTCTGGCACATGAATTCAGCCTGCTCCCTTCCGGCCGTAGATTTAACGTGCCAAGATGCAGGACAAACAGACTTCAAAAGTCTTGGGTCCCGGTGGCCATTGGCCTCCTGAACAACACCAGTTAGCATGCACTGTGGTCACTTTACTCCTTCTCTTCTGTCCCCTATCGTGGTATTGCACTTATGTATTGTCATTTTGTATATTTTTAACCCTTTTTAACCTGTCATGTTATTGCTGTGTATTTTTTTTAATGTTGCCTCTGTTTTGCTGCTGGCTGCACCACAAATTGCCCCTCGGGGACAATAAAGATTTCTTGACTTGACTCTGTTTTTCCCCAACTCAGCAGCTGTCTAACATGAGTCTGGTCCTGCTCAAGGTTTCTGTCTGTTAAAGGGGAGTTTTTCCCTGCCACTGTCACTCATGTTGGATGAGATGGGTCATACCTTTCCCATCTTAAGCTTGGCTCTTTGTTATACATCAGACAGTGAGTGTGGTCGAGACCTGCTCTTTTGGAAAGCGTCTTGGGATAATAGCTGTTGTGATTTGGTGCTATATAAATAAAATTTGATTAATTGATCCGTGCAAATGTAAATAATACATATTTTGATTGCAACCAATATGCAGCTTGTAATGGAGATGTGCAACCTGTGAAGCATAAACTTCTAACCAAACAATCACATTCAAACGTGCTCCTTATGGCTTTACTGCTGATGACAAGTATGATGTGTGTTTACTGATGCATGCTCCTGATTAGAAGTATCCTGTAATATTTATGTTTCTTGCCCTGGGGCGTTGGTCTGGTCAGAATAGAGCTGCAGAAAGTCTTGGTCTGCACACACACGTCCTCACAAAAACTAATGCAAGATGAGGACATGTGTGTGCAGACTAAGACTTTCTGCAGATACAACAACAATAACCAGATACACCCCCCCCCCCCCCCAATGTACATAACCCACCAGTAATATAACATGTATATCTTTGCACTATTGCACTACTGTTTTGTATATATACGTTAAATGTCTAGTTTAATCTTGTACATGTACATTTCGTAACAATTCTGGTAATATTTCAGATTTAATGTTTGTAGCTGGCCAATAAAGCTGATTCTGATACACTCAAACTCCACCAAAATACTTTCTTATTGGTTGCAGAGAATATTTTGTGCGTACACAGTGACTCTGGCCTGACATGTGAACTGAGGATAATTCTATCAAAACAAACCTTTGATTCATGCCACTGTGGATCTTAGGTAGATACACTACTATCCGTTTTTCGTTGTAGCCGATTGATCATCACCTGTTTAACAAAGCAGGTGAACAACTCCCAAGATGAAGCCTGATTCAAAACACTAGCCTGAAAAACCTGCTGTGACGGGTTTGACTCCTTAATCCTGCATAATGACAGCCATAGTAGAAAAACAAAGAAAACAGTTACACTGGTTTAATTACCCTACAAAAGACAGAAGAGAAAATGAGGTGAGAAATGAACAGTAACCACAATCAAAATTCACTCAGTAACTGAATTTAAACACATAAACAAATCAACTGAGGGCTTGTCTAGAACAAATGCAACACGACAACATGGACAAGTCATATTCAGTCCTTTTTTAATCTTGTTTTTATATATTTTCTGAGAGTAATCTAATAATGAAGCTGATTAAGAAAAATCATGTTCTGGTCTGCATTAAAAAAATAGATTCAGACTCAGAATAACAGTCAAATTGCATTGTTTTCTTAGGGATTGCACGTTATCAAGATATTTAAACACTGCACAACGCTCAGGAAGTGGTTTGGAATGACTTATAAAGTCGTCAGCTGTCCCTGGTGGCTGAATGTCATTGGTCAAGGAGTCATTCCATTGTAAATCTCATATTTCTACTAAATTGTTCCTTTCACAAATGAACTCCTGACCTTTACTTAGGAATTCCAAAATACTGTGGTAAGAAAATGACCTATTACACAGGTGTGTACAGGCAAGTGGCAACCTCCTGTGTTAGAAAATAAAGCAGTTAAAAAACATGCAGTTCCCCAAAGTGTTCACCTGAGGATAAATATTGTCAACATTGCTGGTTTACTCAAGAATTACTTGTAACATAAACTAGTTGATTTATATTCACTAATGTGGGCTTAAAATGTTGGACATATGTCATGTCTTGTAGTGTGTTGTTTGGCAAATGGAGATACAGTAGGTTGTGTCTGGTTAACTCATCTGGGAAAATGTGAATCAAATACAAGTATGTAACTGTTACCATGCAGGGAGGACTAAATGCTGGGGGTGCTAGCTCTGCTGTTGTTCGCCACACTCAGAAAACCTTGAATCTTCAAACTTCAACCACACACAGACTCTATGGATCAGTGTATAAATACAATGTGTTAAATTTCAATTCTCATCTGACTTTTTTCTTCTGTTTACACCATCTGAATGGTAAGAGTAAAAATTTTGGTTTGAAGTGACAAACAAATGAGATATCTCACATAAACATGATTTTGAAATGCTTGTTTTTAAGACAAAGCTAAACATTTTTACATCCTGATACAAAGTTTTGTATGGAATCCATTAACCATGTCAGGCCTAAATTTGCACACTCAGCTGAGTAAGGACATATGTGCAATGCAAACACAACAGTAGAAACACTTATATGAATAACTAAGCCAAACAGTTAAACTCTGCTCAACCTAAACCACATCATTATTCTGCCCACTCTGTCATGGAGAATTTTCTGGACTTTTACCCTCTTTGTGTTTGCAAATACACCTTATCCATGTGATAGTTGGAAATTTCCAGAAGTGTAGTGCATGTGTAAAAAGACCTATCAAGATAAGTACAGGTATGCTACTTCTTGATTATAAGTTATAAAACACCACTACAACCAAGGTATCCCAGACCCCAAAGCAGAGAATGTCAGAGCAGGTAACAGATTCAAGTGACACAGCGCTGCTTCAGGGTGTCCAGAATCCCTCTGCTCTCTGTCTTTAACACAGTGTCGGTGGTTACTTTTGTTGTTTGAGGTCTTTTTTGGCTTGGTTTGACATATTTACAGCCTGCCATGCTGTTGTTCCTGCTGAAATCACCTAAAATAAGCTCTTGTGTCACTCTCTTAGACATCTCCCAGGCCACTTGTAATCAAGTGTTTTTGTCTGTCTGACAGCAAACCCACAAATCAGTTTTTGCATCTTCTTAACCTTTCAGTGCATGTCAAAACCTCGGGCTTCATTAACCATTCAAACTATAAATGGTACAGCTGTTTCAAGAGGTAACATGCTTAACACTTGAAAAGATAAAAGTTATAAAGTTGGGTTTGTTGTGGTAATTAAACATCCTGTTTTAGTGTTATTGTGATTCTGTCAACAGCTGTAACTTCTGTTGGTGGTATTAGAGGTCTGCAAGTTTGTGCAACAGTCTCATCTATAATGTACTTGCTCTGCTTTGCATATAAAGCAAAAGAGGATAGAGAAGTGAGGATTCAGGAGATTTCCCAACAGTGTTCTGATTGTCTTAATGATCTGTCGCTCTGATTTCACCACAAGCCTTGTGCAAGAACGCTTCCTGCCAAACAGAATTAAACACCTGAGGCTAAACAATAGCGCTGAAGCTGTTGATATGTCACCGTCCCAGGGAGGGGCTGCATCATAATGCAATCATCCAGCCCTGTTTACACAAGTGCTTTCAAAATGACAATGCTGCTGCTGCTGCTGAACATTTTGTGCCTCCTCCAGAGCAAATGTTGTGCATGGAGAAAAGGGGGAGGAAAGAAATGAACTCACAAAAGCAAAACCCAGGTTAAAAGACTGATTATATTTCAGCTGAAGCAAATGAGGATGGTGGGTTTACATTTGTACACATTGCCCTTTGTAAGAGCACACAGCTATTGCTGGAGCATAAATGGGGATATAAAAAAGCTTTGGTAAATTCCACAGGTAAGCTATCACTGGGAGAGGGACCAGCCCAAACAGGCAGAGCAGGGCTGGGCTTTGCAGCCAGAGGCCTTGGAAGTCTTCACTGTGTTTATGTGGCAGGGCTGGGGTTTTGACTTTCACTCTGCACACGCTGAAAAAGCTGCAGAATAGAAACAGTGAGAACAGGCACACCTTTGCCATCCTACAGCCTCACCTGGTCAGAATAAACAGACTTACAAACACCTTGAGCGAGTGTCCAAACTGAGGGAATCCACCTTCCCCTGACCCGAGTTCCCCTTAATCCACCGTGCTCATACAAAAATGCAAACAAGCATGAGGGAAACACTGTATTCTGCGCTTAAAGGCAAGTGACGAAAAATTCCTCCCCAGGCTTCATAAGTCAACACACAAGATAAATATCGAGCCCAGCTCCAGTTGACATGGCAAGTGTCCCACATTGTCTCAGAGAAAACAAACAAATCTGGTCCAGTTGCTCAATAGAGCCTGCAGGTTTGTCAGCCATCCATTCATGTATCCATCCAAAAAGGTCTTATTCAACATGTGAAAGGACTCAAAACGAGGGAAAGGGTGGAGTGATGACTAGAAAAACAAAGATAAACACCAAGACTCAAACCTGACTGCTGTGATCAACCTTTAACAACACATTTACATTTTTCATGCTCTCCTTCAAACTCTGGAGCTCACAAACATGTTGCAGTAGGTGTCATGACGCAAAAGCTGTGATATCATAGCTGCAGGCTGTTGGCAAAGAAATTTCCACCCTCAAAAAGCGAAGGCCAGGAGCTGAAAACAGCTCCAAAGGTGTGTGGATTCACAACAGCATGCCCAAAACATTAGACATGTATCAAGCTTATCAACTGATGGTGTGCACCCTGGTGAAGACTCTGCTCCTGATCCGCTCTTTGATTTTTCAGATGTATTTATTTTATTCAGTGTTAAAACTCACACCACAGGTGTAACAGAGGTATTATCTCAGGAAGAACTGTTTTAGTCATAGAAAAAGATCCAGTTGTTAGATTTATGCAGCCCTTTTACTACTTGTGAAAGAGCAGTTGAGGTAAAAACGTTTTAGTATTACTCACTTATGGCAGCAGTGAGGATGAATTTCAAGTTAAACAGTGATGCACCAGCCTGCTTGGTGATGGACAAGTGTGACTCCTTTTTCAGGTATTTAAGAAACAACCTAAGTCCTACTCTTTATTCATGGCACAAACTGTATTTCCCTAATGTCAACATTAACCTTAACGATATTCAACAAGATGTAGTTCAGAAACACTCTTCAATAAGGTGACTCTCCTCCACATTAAAAAAAGGGTCACATGTGGCCGAAAGCAGCTGAGACAAAAAACAAGGGGGGGCCCTTCACAGAATCCCAAATCCTCGTCCGGAAGTAGACTGTAGTATTAATGCAAAACTAGAGATGCCCTTTTTCAAACCTCAAACCTTTTTCAAAACTACACACTAACTTAGTGCTTTGCACTTTGTGTGTAACTGGAGGATGCCTCTAGAGGGCACAGCAGAGATTGTGGCTAAATACAACAACCAGAAATGTGGGTTCTCTGTAAAGGTAATTTATTATGTTACATAATGACTAACAAAAAAGCAAACTAACTAACAACTCTCACAAACTAACAAACTAACTTCGTTACAAACGTGCTTAGTAACTAACTTAACACCAACAATTGTCATGCAAGCTCAGGTACGAACGAATGAACAAACCAACCAACCAACCAACCAACCAACCTAACTAACTAACTAACTAACTAACTAACTAACTAACTAACTAACTAACTAACTAACTTAAACACCCACCCACCAACTTACAAACTAAGAAATCAACTCACAAACTAACGTACAGACTTACTGACAAGCCATTAACCTGCAAAAAAACATAGTAACTGACAAAAAATTAACTAACTTACAAACTTACATAAATAAAGACTTACTGACTTGTCACCTAAGTGACCAACTGATGTACCTGAATGTGGGATAAACGATGACGGATGCAGTCTGCACGCAGAGTAGTGACTTTATCAGAAAGCTGTTGTACAAGCTGTAGTTCAAAAGGCATGTGAGTAAAAATACAGTTTTGTCATACAGGGGTCCAAAGAATGAGCTGATAGAGCTGCAGTGTAGTACATGGAGGCTCTGTGTTAAGGTTCAGTCTATTTTTGAAAGTTATGTATGGACATTTTAAATGTTTTTATTCACTGTACAAGCCTGCTACTTTCTCCTCTAAACCCCTCAAAAGAACCAGCAGTGGCACAGTTTCAAACTGAGTCTTTTCAAATATTTTCAATTTGATTTGAAAGAGTGTGTAGGTTTTTAGCAGCGGCAGATTGAACAGTGGCATTGACATACTTCTCTTTCCATTATTGCCATTATTTTTTACTTTGTGTCTACAGCAGGAGTACTGACCTCAGGGTTACCCTCACTGACCTGGGTCCTCACAATAGTGTTTGCATGGTGTGATTGTTTGGGGACACTAAGCACCGGTGTTTTTACTCAAAACGGACTGTGAATAAATCTTCTTTGCATTATAGAAATTTAACTTACCTGCTTTTTTCTTTACATCTTTGCAGCTATCCTCTAATAAGCTCCCACAGCACAGTATACGGATCATATCTCAATGGCTACAATGAACTGACTGCCCTCTGCTGTCTGAATGAGTAAGCTGCTCTGGTTGGTTTAGGTGTGGTCAGAAAAACTGCAGGATGAGAGGGGGGATGTTTGAAGAGAGTCTCCAGGTACTATTGCAAAGACTGTCTGAAATCCCAGATTTGACAGCCTATTGATCTTCATATTCAAATAATTGAAAAGATGAATCGGTAAGCTTGTGTCTACTGACAATATGAGAAAGATATCCTTGCTGATAAACTTTTAAACATGTGAGAAGTTGAAGGTTTGAGTTAAATAAAGCATCTTTCCCTCTGAAACCTGATTCAGAAAAAGAGAAAAAAAACTCGATCAGATGAGGAACAGAGGAATGCAGGGCTGGGATTATTTCCAACCTTCATAAATATATATATTTCCTACAACAGCAACTGAAGCAACCTCAAGTGGGGTTTCTTTATACCTCCACACCCAACTCTTTCAGACAGGAAATAAAAAAAATAGATGATGTGCTGGGTAATTAGTTTGTCTAGACAGTTTGGAAAGAAGGCACTTAAAACACATCTTTCCCAACAGATGCAGAATATATGCTGCTTTTCCTTCACCTGGAGAGTGTGCGATGAAAACAAAATCATCAGGACTAAAAATACTGACACTCCCTCAACGCTTTCTTTTGGCATCTTTAAGGTTTTAGGGGAGGCTGACTGAACACAGGCGCAAAACAAGATGCTCCATAGAGGAAGTTAGGTGTTCTTTGTTTTGAAACCGATGGTCTGGGACTGTAGGGGTCAAACGTTCAAGTGATTTCACTTTCAGTTCAGTGAGTTAAATTCTGTAATACTGTTATAAAATATTTATATCATAAGAAATTCTAGCACCATGAGAAAGAACGATATCTAAAACCTAATAAAATCCACTGATGGTGGGGTTTTTGATGTCTGAACTTCACAAGATTTTAAGTTAAGTGCGGTGAGAAATGCCTGTGGTATACACCAAAAACAGAAAGCATCCTCATGAAACCTGGAAGTGAAGAAGCTCTCCTTTAGAGTTGCTATAGCAAAACAGAGAGTGGAAAATGCTTAGCAACAAATATGAAACCTATAATGCAATAAAGGGCCAGAAATAGTCCAGACTTATTTTGTTTATGTAGCAGGCATTTCTAACCAACCAAGAAATATTAGGTAGATTCAATTCAGTGACACACAGAACAGTGATAGTGTCAAAGCTCAGAGATTATTCTCATCTGTAGTCTAAATTTGGAGGCAAAGGTTTTTTTTAGAGTGAAGAGGTAAAAGAAATTGTGAAAAATTTACAGTTGAGGATAAACTGTGATCCTTTAACTTCCATCACATGGCTTAAAACAGCACACCAAAAAACTAGGAAAGATGAAAAATAAATAAATAAGGAATCAAAAAAGTGACTGTCACCCTGAATTCAACAGCTGACTCATCTCATACTAATTCATTAGTATAAATGCTCAGCTAAAGTGAAAGGCCATTTGTTCAAAGACAAACAACTAAGGATGTACAGATACGATATTAATATTGGATATTGGTCTGATATCAGCAAAAAACGAATATTGGATTATATCAGCCTTCATCTGAAATTTCCGATATTAGTGCTCCAATTCAAGCAGTAGGTTCCAGACTCCACTCCAGCACCTCTATCTAGCAGCACCAGAATCCAGCATGCAGAGTCCACGTGATCACAACAACAGTGTGTACTAAGGAACTAACAAAGTAGCAAGGAGTAGGAGTGATGTCTGTCATGTGGCAGTATTTTTTGTTTAAATCCAAAAAAGCTGAGTGCAAAACTTGTCATGCACAATTGTGCGCCAATATAGGATTAATATTGGTATTGGCCAATACTGAAGGCTACAATATCGGCATCGTATCGGGAGTAAAAAAAAAGCTGTATCGGTACACCCCAAAACAACCCTTGCATCTCTCCTAGGGATGTCCCAAATAAACCCATTTCTTGGTCATTAAAAAGAACATTTAAATTCAGACTACCTGACTCGTCTGATGGGAAGAAAACTCACAGAAAACAGTCATGTTATTATTGATGAATAAAATGAAGCAGCTTTCCCTTTCTTTGATCTACTCTTCATCTTATTGACATTTTCTGTACAATTTCTTTGACAAAATGTTTGTTTTTTTGCTCTGCTCAACATCCAGGTTCAAACTATTGCACAAATCCAGCCTGCGGATGTATCACTCTCCGATAAAGTCAATATTCTGACACAGGCTGTTTGAGAAGTTCTGGTGGTAAAAGATTATATTTGACTATTGAAAGATAAATATTAAAATGATTTTTACCTGTGATATACAAATATCGAAAGCTTTCTTACACATATGATGAAGCTGTTATATTAACGAGCTATTTTTCTGCAGGAGGCTGTAAAACAGTTGATGTTTAATCACTGAATGCATGGGTATTTTATTTCATCTATGATTTTCGATTAATCTAAAATACAAAGTTGTGTCTTTTGTCTTTCTAAATTCTGGAAATGTGTTTTTTGGAGGTAAGACTTCAATAAACAATCATCCCTAATATTTCACATGCTGAAAATCCGACAGGTTCTTGTCCATTTATAAATATTTCAGGAGGAGGGGGATTTATTTTCTGATGCAACTGTGCAGGTGTTGAATTTGGTGCGCACGTTCATTATTAGACTTTCTAGTAGCACAGACTCATACACACAGCTGCAGAATCAGCCATGACAACATCAAACAGATGAAGAAACGTGATGTGGTGAGCTCCTGCATGAACTGTCTGTACCGAGGATGTACACTGACATCATGTGGTCAGATCACAACCGTCAGCTGCGGACTGAATTTTCTCACACAGGAATGGGATCACCAAAACTATAACTGCAACAGGCCAGATTTTTGTCCATGAAAGTTGAAAAAGCAGCTGAATATATGTATGTTAAATGATGTCTCATTGATTTTAAAAGGAAATTTCATTTTGAGGAAAAATATCAAATAACCTAAGTTTTTGGATCTACCAAAAAACAAGATTCCCTTAATATGAATCTGAGGATCTTCTTTCGGATGAGCCTAAAAATTGTACTTTTTAAAGAGAATCCCTAAAAAGTATTAAACAGTTTTATACGTTAAAGCACAGATTTTACTCTAATGACCCCAGATTACACCTTCAGCAAGAGAGTGAAATATAAGGACACAAGGTGTGAAATTAAAAGAGCATTATTTCTCACCACTCTATCAATTTCTGCAGCTACAATAAGTATTTTTGTGTTACAGCTCCAATTTCAGGAGGCAGTGTGTTTCTTGACACTGGAGCTAAGCTGGGTGCTGCTGCTGCTGCTGGGATATCAGTCACCTTAGAGTGTACACATAAGCGTATACGCGCAAGAGTAAGCATTGTTTGTTTGTTTTTTTCTTTTTTCGCTATCTTCTTGTTTGGCGGCTCTTTCCTAGGCAATCTACTTTTCTTTGGATCGATTATTCTCTGTCTTGAGCTCTTAGTGCTGATGTTTAAATTCAGTCCAGTTAGCTACAGCTGTCTGAGACAAAGATCACTGAAGGAAGACAAAAAAAAATGATGACTGGGACACACTTTGGTTAAACCCACTATAAAAAAATACAAATATACATCAATGTTAGAGTCTTAATTAAAAGTAAAGAAGGAAGCTAATCTGTGTGGTGGTACAGTTTGCTCTAGAATTGAGCAATACAGTCTATTGTTTGATTGATGCATCTGATTGATGAATACATGTCTTCTATTTGTTTTTACTGCCTCATGTTCCAGGTCTTTATATGAGACAGGCTTCAATTAGACACAGACCTTAGTATCAAATTCTCAAAGTGATATCACTTTGTAGGCAGTTTTACAACTGGTTTTACAAACCATTGGTTATCAACACACTAGCAAAGTTCCACAGTGCTCGCTTGAAGAAGCATAGTAACAGTGCAAGCCAATACACTATTCAGCCAAACACAACTGTAAGAAAAAAAGTGCTGCATTGCATAATGAGTATCTGTAATGAGCCCACAGGTAGTGATAATATTTTATACAAAGTGAGGATCTTGTTCACTAACTCCAGCCACATTATTGCATTATTCACAAAGGGTTCTGTATCCCTGTAAAAGTGGTTTATTTAGTCTTTATCTAATTACATCTCTATCTCTCTCTATGTGTACTACAAATGTTCAATCAGACTAGCTCTGTCCATAGATCAACCCCCACCATACAGACTTTCCTATGTTTGGTTTGTTTTTTTTCAAAGCTATAGCCATACAGGGCCACAGTAGACTGCTGTACAGTGGTTGTTGTTGCTTTAATTTGACTGATGGTGCACGTGTGTGTTATTGTCTCTTTCAGTTTCTTCAGTCTGGTGAACCCTGATTGCGTGGTTATGCTGCTTTTACACAGAATAGTATGTTTATTTTTCAGATAATACTTTGCTTACAGCTCCAGTATGACAGATGATTAGAAAGTGTAAAACTTGACATATCTGTCCTGAATGAACTTGTTGAAGACTCTTCATCTTCATCCTGTAAAGAGATTTAATTTTGCACTCATGGAGCAGCTCTAAGTGGATGTGAAGATGCTGACTAGGGAGGTGCCAATATACAATTTAATCGCGATATGCAATATCAAACAGCTGCGATTATGAAATCGTAAGGTACTGTAATAATCGTTCCACATTATAATTTAAAGACGAGTACTTACCAACCTAACCTGCTCGTAGTCTTACCCACGGTGTCAAAGCCCAACGGTAAGGAAAACTTGGATTATTTCACCTTGTTATGTACTTTCAACCGCGCTCCTGTCAGGGGTGCATTCAACAGCAGGGGTGCATTCTACGGCATAACACCGGACCAAGAACAGTCGGAGACTGAGAAAGACGAAACGCCTTGGCTCAGTCGGCTGTATCCTCCTGTTAAAAAGGTTTTGTCAGCAGTATGGCAATTTGGGGCTTCACAAAACAGACGGAGCAGATAAACCTGACACCAATCTGCAGGTTACACCGTAAGGAAGTTGCAGCGCCGTTGTCTAACACTTCAAACTTACGTGCCTACCTCCGTGAACACCATCCAGCATCATTCGCCCAAATCAAGGTAAAAACAACGTGACCGCAACAAGTTTGGTCTACTCTACTGCTTATTATTGACAATGTTAGTGACATTTCTGCTAACTTTAGCTCCAAAACCCTAATGCTCCCAATGTCGCGTTAGCTGCCTCTTGCTCATATTGTTTGTGCGTGTCATGCTGTGCACAGAGAAGTGATTTCGCAGCTTTTTGCCATTTTTAATAACGTTAAAAGCAATGCGCTAATATCACGATAATATCGTGAATCGTGATCTTTTAGGGCACCAATATCGTCATATCAAATTTTTCATATCGGCACATGCCTAGTGCTGATGGTGATAAACTCGGTCACTACAAAGAAAAAAGAGGAACAGACTGTGCATAAATGACCTGTGATCTGGTTTACTATGATATTATTTAGTCAAATAGTTCAGGATGTATGAATGGTTTTTTGTGGGATCACTGTGAACTCATGAGTAACTTGTTTCCCATATTTACATATTCCATATCAGAAACATGAATCTGTCCTGGTTCTAAATTGAATGCTGGCCTTTCATCACTCATCCTGCTCATGATATGGGTTATCATTAGGATTAAATACCAGTCATTAATTAAGGGATCATGGTAAATGTAGGCACTCCTTGGAGCTAACCTCAATTGGACCATTGAGGAATTGCTGTTTTTTCTTCTATTGCATAAATCTTCACTGGAGGTTGCAGCTTGGTTTCTTTATGTGGTCGTTGGTTACTGTTTATTAATTCAATACTCTATCTGATATGCTAATGTTGTGTGGCTACAGAGTCTTTAGTTGTTCCAAAAGGTAGTTAATGAGAAACAGGGTTGAGCAGAAATCAGGACTGAATAATCTTCACAGCCTGGTTTTTAGTGCTCTTCTGTCTCATGCTGATTCTCTGATGTGGAAACAAAGTTCTTCACACTATTGCAGTGTTGTAGAAGATTCATTTTCATACACAGATGAAGTTGACTGTAGATCAATTTCTGCCAAAAATAAGACAGAGTGACCTAGACAAAAAGAAGACACTTCCTGAGGGAGAGACAGAGAGGAAGACGAGGAGAAAGAGGGAGGGATGAAGATGAAGACAGAAAAGGGAACTGTTTGAGGCTCCAGTCTTTTCTCATTTGAATCCGTCTCTTTACTGTCGGACTCCCGGGTGGCTTTCAGGAGTGTTTTATGTATAATTCAACGTAATGTGCAGAGATAAAGCCTCCAATAAAGGCAGCGCTCTCTAAGCTCTTCACAGCACATTACGTTTTATTCATCAAATTAGTTTTAGTTGGTTTGGTATCCCCTGAGCCGTCTTTAAAAGGTTTAGATGAAAGGACTACATTAATTTTGCTACTAATCAGTTAAGCGACAGCTCCAAGTGACAGCTCTGCACTCCTCAGCCCTAAAAACTCTCCGCACACTCGCCCGCCTGCCATGACTGTTTCGGCTCGACTTCTCTACGTGTCCCCAGCTGCTCCCTGCACCATCCTCTGCAAGAATCCTTCCGACCACACCGCCCTCTGATGCTGCCCTCACTCCCTTCACTGACATCTCATATCAGCAGCAACACTTTTTAGAAAATCCTGCATACTTTGGCTGTCTTTGAAATTAAAAAAGGCTGCATATTTTGTTTTTTTACGGCTTCTTTAAATTCTTTGCAAAAGTGACCAGGCATGTTTCGTGTAAAAGCTCAAGCGTTAAAGGGAAGGAAGCAAATTAGAGCATAAATCAGATAAAAAGAGCTAATCCCTGTAAGGCTTTACTTCTAATTAGTAACTAAACAATACAAAGAGCTCATTTTAAAGAGGACTCATTTTATTTGACTAATTATTTTATTAAAATTTTTGAATAATTACTAAAAATGAGTCAAGACACCAGAGATCTGCGGCTCTCTGTCTAACACAATGCGGTTTTGCTCACTTGAATGTGTCTGTATTAAGTTATGAAGTTTCCTGGTTATCATTTCCCAAAGCTGCAAGTTTTTCAGACACAATAAACTTCAAGTTTCTTGTTGAAGGACTAATAAAGGGCTAATGAGGACACACTTACTGCAGAATGGAGTGTTTGGGGAAGCTGAAGGTGCCGTGGCAAATGCGGTCCACTAAGTTCAGAGGGACTCTCTGTATCTGCTCACACCTGAACAGGACAAAGTCGTACTTGTTGATCAGAAGAGTGTTGTCTGTGATCAGAACAAGACGCTCTTTCTCGTTGTTCCAGTGGTCCACCCTGAAACAAAAAGAGAAAGAAAAGCGGTGTGTCACAAATACATGAAAATGTTTGGGTGTCCTTTTGAAAGGAAGTGAAGTTATTTGCTTGGATGTTTTAAGGAACTGTGAAAGGCAAGTGATAGTGGTGCCTCTCTGTGACCTTTAAAGCAAATGAGACCATCAAAGCTGGAAACTTCTGTCCGATCTTCGTGAGGGAGGAGATTTCACTCCAGAAAAAATGTCAACAAGCCCTAGAAACAACCCGTTTTACCTTTTCTATGGCAAAACTCACAGGGAATTATGCTTATCATTTTTAAAAGACAACAGAACAAGGTTTTTAGTTTCACTCACACATGATAAAAGAAAAGAAGCATAACTTGATCCACAGTTGGCGCCAAAACTCACACACTAAAGTTCCTCGCAGCAGGGTTAATGCAAATTTTATTAATACACTTTTTGATTGTTATAAGTAAAGAGCCAAAAGGACAAACACAACAGTAGAAAAAAAACCATCAAAAAATAAAATCTTCCATGCAACACAAACAAAAACGCATGTTCCTAAGTCAGTCTGAAAGACACTCAGAGTTCATTAACATGTTAAAGTCAGAATTAAACTAAAAAACTCAAAACTAACAAGATTTTTTGTTCAGGGTCATGGAAAGTCCTGATGAACATCTAACTTTAGGATGTTACAAACCAAAATAATGTTCTGAACTACCTTAAAAAGTACAAAGTCTGCAAGTAGAATAATAAAAATGTACTAGCCAAGTTTCTGAAAATAAGGGTTAAGCTTTGTACATTGTGTCCAAAATTTTAAGATACTTTCCTCGATGTCTAATGGGTTTGGTACCTTTGACTTCGAGTGAAGATTTAATCTACTGTTGGTTTTTGTTTAGGACAGGTGCCAGCCCACTTCTTGGCCTGGACCAGCTGCCAGGTTTAAAAGATGACTCCTATCCAGAAACAGTTTTTCTTCTTCTCCTTCTACCCTCTTTAAAAATATATGAAGGAAAAACCCTCTTTACACCAACCTGGCCTCATTTAAAGTCCCTTTCAGTGCACAGCCCATGATAAGAGGTCATACACTTTTTCTTTGAGCGAAACAGGATGAGATGACACAAAATTATGACCTCCCCCTTTTTTCTTTTTTTTTTACTGTTTAGTGACTACTTCTATTTTTAAACCTATGTTATAGTGAGCATTTTTACCATGAACTTTTTATTTGCGTGAGTTAGGAGGAGCAGCTCTAAATATTCTGTAGGATGTTATTTAAGGTTAATATAAAAAACGTACAGAGCAAAGCTGCTCAATAATGTAATGAAAGAGCTTCACAACTCCCAAAGATGCCCTTGGCAAAGATTATACAATGTGCATGGAAACATTTCTGTATAGCTAAATTTCTACAAAATAAATAAATAATCTGGAAAAATACAATTAACAGAGCCACCTTTAGAAAGTTTAGACCCAGACTTCTTGCACTGAGTTGACAATGTTTCAGTCCGACTACTAAAGTCAAAAAACGCTTAACCCCCTCACTGTGCACACAGCCTAAGTCCTTTTGAGGCATGCACAAAGTTTCTGAAATCTGTTGGCAGCAGGGAGTCTCTCTGAGTTTGATTCTCTATTAAAGCTCCTGTGAGGAGTTTTTCACTGGTTTTGAAACTCACAGAATCTCATACTGTTGTCTCTTTGTTAACCACAAGATATATTCACAAGAAACAGTATTTTATAACCATTTTGTTATTTTAATGCCTGAAACTGCTACTGCAGGGCAGGGGAAAGTGATTTTATGCACTTTGCTTGACGATGTTTGTTGATCTTTGTTTTGCAGCAAAAAATCTTCAATAGGTGTTACATCTGATGGTCCAAAGACAGAAAGGTGAACATTTACATATGTAAACTGAACTTACACAAGCACAGAAGTTTCCTTGTCATAACCCACCATCGCTGGAAAACACAAAGTGACACTCTTCTAGGGACTCCAGTGTTTTGTTTCTACATAAATACATAAAACCACCCACTCTGTGTTCAAAAGCAGAGTCATTCATGATTAATACTTTCTCAGAATAAGCTTTAACAACAGGGATAAATCATAAATCCAAGAACAAACAACAGGAACAAAAGAGAAGCCATCCAAACATTGAAAAAAAAACACAAAATTAGATTAACTTAGACTTTCTAAAATTAGTGAAAATCCTCTTCAGCAAAGCCACATTTGAGGAATTTCTCACGTTTTTCCGACGTTAGTCACTGGCTGCCCTCTAGGGAAAGCAGCAGCGTCACTGAATTAGCATATAATGCACTGTTTCTGTAGCAGAAAATCCTACATCCAGGCCAAATATAGGACAAACATTAACGTGTTTGTTGGACAGAGCTGCATAAATGGGATGTATTATTCATCCTCACATGGCCAGCCTTTTAAATGTTTCCTGAAAGCTTTTTGTAGGACTGATACAACCTGACATCTGCAAGTGCACTCGGTAAATGTCCTGCAGTCACTTCATTTTGCTCTGTGTTCGAGGCACTTAAATCACTAACTCTGCTTTGACTCATATGTGGCTGTCTTTGGAGTTTGGGGTTTGTAAGAACAGTGATATCTACTTAAATGTGCACAGCTGTGTCTCTCACCGTACTAAGGGTCTGTTCATTTATAAAAATAACGATGAGTTAAGTCGTATAGCACATTTCAAAACAGAGTTTCAAAGAGCTTCACAACATAAAAACAGAATAAAAATAGAGGTAAAACATACAGCAGCAGACATCAGGACAATTTCCAAAACACTCAGTCAACAGGAATGATTTAGACTTCAATAAAAGATGAAACTACTACTACTACTACTGATAATAATAATAATAATAGTAATAATAATAATAATAATAATAATAATAATAATAATAATAATAATAATAACACATTAAGTCTTAAATTAAAGGTTTGGAATTACATCAAAACTCATATCCAGTAAATGTACATTTATAAATAAAATTGTTTATAAACTTGCTTAAAAAAGGATAAGGAACTTAACAGTCTGATCTCCTTCGGCAGAGGATATCAGTCTCTCCTCTGTCCATCTCTCTCTTTCTCCATCTCTATCTCTCCCCTCTCTAATCCCAGCTCAGTCTCAGCAGATGACTGTCTAACATCAGTCTGGTTCTGCTCGAGGTTTCTGCTTCTTAAAGGAAGTTCTTCCTCTCTTCTGTACCTTGATAAATGCTGTTAAGTGTTTCGCTCATGTGGTTGAAGATGGGATGAGAGTGGGTCTGATCTTATAGGATGGAGCTCAGTCTAAGTCCAATCTTTACATTGGGTCTATGTGAACAGTGTCTGGTCTAGACCAGTTAAGTGTCTTTGGAAAACATTTATTGTGAATAAGCGCCCATTAAAACAAAGATTGATTTATAGATTGTTTTTCGAGATAATAGAACATACTATTCAACATACTCATGTCGCAGTAAATGTGCCATAAGGTGTCCACAGTTACTCACAACATAAGGCAGTATCTTCAGTGAGGTAACTGAGGCCAAAAACGCTATTATTGACCATGGGATGTTAAGTGTTGAAATAGCTGTTATAGCTGCCTTATAGTCATGATTACTGATACACTGACACAAAACCCCCTGAAGACCAGCCACTTTAAATAATAATAACTCTATTCCCAAGTGTTTAAGTACTGCTTATAATTGTTAAGTTGTAGCTGACATAAAAATGCTCTGACAGGGCAGACGATATGCTGCATGTCAGCATGAACATAACACTGTGTAACATTACACTGACATCATGAACTCACTCTGCCATCAGCCAAGTGCCTTGAATGTTGCCATCGACTTCTTTATCCACCAGAGCTTCAACGTCTTTGATGGCCTGATTCAGAGTGCCAGGCTGGGGAGACAAAAATAAGAGGATGTCACTTTCTAATTTTCCATTGTGACAATCACAATGTGTGTGCAGAAAGCTTAAGGGGTAATCTTTGAGGCAGATGTGCAGCTGGGACTGGTACTCCAACAAAATGTCAGCCCATCTGTGTGTCAAACAACATAACAATAAATGAAAACATGAAGCCTCAGCACATCATAAAAAGACGGCTGAGAATGAAGAAAGCTGAGTGAGCAGCTTCTGTGTATGAATTAGAGTATTTCAAGAAACACATTCAGTGTTCAGTTCACAATACACAACCAACATGTCAGCTATTGTTAGCGATCCCTGCTGTCAGTGTCATTTTAATAACGTGACAGTGCATCTACTCTTACAGTTTGTGTTTTATTATCACAACGCCAACTTGGAGAACTTTTAGAGATTAGGAGTTCATGGCGAGGGCTCCTGACAGTCTTACAGTAATCTGAGCCTGGTGCTAAGCCGCACAGCAACATGGGATGTGTGACTGACTTTCCATTGCAATCCAATCAGCGCTACCTTTGGGATCCTGATAAAGTTCTTTATGCTGTTGACACTGTCACTGAGGTGTAATTTTGGCCCAGTTTACAGCCCTTTTATGACTCCAGTGTATGCAATAGTGAGGTGAACGTTATAAAATGATACTCTTTAAGTGTGCTAGTAATTGCATACCTGACCCAAATTTATGTAGGGTTGTACATGAATAGCGAGGAAACAGAGACACACAGGTAACTAATATTTGGATAACATTTCAGTACCCTAAATTGAATCTATAGAAGCATGCTAAAACTGCCAACTACAGTGTTGGAAAAAAGTTTGGAATATTTTCTTCAGTGTTTCGTGTAACGTGAATGATCCTCCAACAAACGTGGCTGAACTGACTCAGGCTGTGATCCAATGCTGGCGAGAAATCCCGGTTGAAACTCTTACCAACCTAGTGACCAGCATGCCCAGACGTGTACGTGCATTGTACAGTGCTAGAGGCGGTCACACAAAGTACTGACTGTATTGTTGTTATCGTCTTGTTATGTTTGATGTTGCTTTCAAAGATGGTCCACGTATTTTGTGGCAATTTAAAATTACAGCCGTTTATTTATTAAATACCGACTCATGATTTTATGCGTTATTTCTATGGCTTTTTGTGAATCATGAGGTGTCCGCCCTACAATTTTTTGAGAAACAAAATAGTTTGATGTGAATTTCAAAAACATATCACAGAGACCAGGGAACATTAAAAAGTCTTTGAATAATTATCCAGAAAGCAGCAGACCGCGTTAAACAAGAGGCTGGGGCTGAATTGACAAATATTCCAAACTTTTTTCCAACACTGTAGGACCATACTACAGTAGGACACTAGGATTAACATAATTTAGAATTAATACAATCCAAATGTTAAACTTATGTTTTATGTTGTACATTGTCCCTAACTCATATAAACACAGTTGAAATTATAATTGCCATGCATTTTAGTTACTTTCCTTTGTAGATGAGTCTTCTTCAGCTTTTTACTCTAAATCTTTACTTCTACATCATTGTGTCAGAGCAATAAAGCTGTTTTTTTCAACTGTCGCAAACTGAGTTACCTCATTATCTGCTGGTAGAGCTACTCTTTTCATGATAAAGACACAACTTCCCACAAATCAAGAAAACATAACATATGGGCTCATCACTGTAAAAGGACAGTGTACGACACAGTATGTCATGCTGCTATTTCTCTGACAAATGAGGCAAGTTAAGTCTAGTTCTGTTTGTGTTGTGCTTTAGCAACACTGAGGATACCAGTTAGGATGATATGAGATTAAAACTAGAAAATATAGAAATATGAAATGGTTAGACTGTAGACTGTAATGCCCCTTTGCTCACCCCTCAGGTCAGTGAGGTGAGGGTGGTTTAAGGACAGGAAGCTGCAGTGAGGTAGGAGAGGCATGATCCTAGATTTGCCAAGTCGTCACTATCAAAACATTTATCAATACAAATTTGCAATGTGTCTAAATACCACACACTGTACTTTATGCCAAGATAAAATAAGAAATTCACCTAAAATGTCAAAACTAAGTAAAATAAAATCAAATTATGGATGACTGTTCCCTAAGGCCCACGATACTAAACATACAGTATTTCAGCAGAATAGCTTTAAATAAGTAAAGATACCGAATAAACACAAGGGGGTTGAAAAGTTAATGTGGCTTAAGGAGGAAACTTAATGACCTTCCACAAGTTTCTGCTAGTGTGGTAATATGCATAAAATAAAAGTTTTAAGCCTTCCTAATGTCAAAGGGAATTAAAATAGAGTCTTTTACCCTCAGCACGAAGAACCTCCTTGACCTGAACTGGTCCACAGGTGTCGGCGCAGAGCTGGCTCCATTCTGGATGGAGGACGGGGCCGCCGGTCCGACCTCTGCTGCCTGCTCCTCCGTGTGCCCTGAGCCGACAGCAGTCTGGGTCTCCTCCGGTCCTTCGAAAGTGGAGCTCGGCTGATCCAGCTGCTCCTTACCTGACACTACTGCATCCTGTAGGCCTACTTCTTCCATGATCAGGCTTCACGGTTACAGGACAAGTGAAAGAAAAACCGATCAGTGATTCAGTCTGTCGGTCTATCGGGACACAGTCATGTCTTAAACTGAAACGAAACTTAAAGTCGCGCCATTTCCGTTTATCCCAGCAGATAGTATGGATGTTCACACGTGTTTGTTTTTCTTAAGGTGAATAAGATTTACTTACCGCTAGTATGTGCAAGTCTCGAAATGTGTTTAAAGGTGTCCTAAATCCAGACGCAGCTGCAGCAACAGGTGCATAACTTCCTTCTTCCGTATCTTTGGATTCTTGTCAAGGGCGTAGTTTACAACAGCGACGAAGACGCTGCATCATCCCCAGCAACGCACTCTGCCCTTTTTTTATTACATTTATCTGATTTATGTTGGCTCAGTCAATAACAGCTAATGAACTTCTTGCAAATGAAACCTGGGAAAGGCGTTAACTTCATTCGCCTTTCCACACAAACAACACTAATTCACTGCTACTGAAGTGTGTGTAATCAGGAGACTCATAATGACACTTGGTTTAAGTTTCAGTGCGCACACACACACATAAGATAAATAGGTACACGAATAAATATTCATTTGCATATCTATTTTTGATTAAACAAAATTTAAACTTAATTTAAAAGAATCCAAATTAAATTTTGTATTTATCTTTGATAAAAAAAAGTTAAGTTCATACAACTTATAATTAACCTACAAAAAACAGTCAACACAAACATTGCATACTATACTTGCAAACAAGCAATTTTGGGCTGAAAAAGTTATGGTAAATTTTTATGAAAACATTTTTTTTTATGGATGCAACCATAAAACTTCAACTTTTTAATGTGATCCTTAGGTCAACCATTTCAGACAGGGTCAAATTTCCCGTATCATTCTGCTTATTTTAAGAAACCTTAACCTAAACTCTATTGTTGTGCCCTTTAGTTACCACATTTTCAGTGCCTTACTTTGCTGACAGTAAGCTCTTTCTTTTACTTTCAAAGAAGCAACACATACGTGCAGTGGAATCACACCAGCCAAAGAAATGATTTTTTTCAGATCAGGAGCATTTTTGAATCAGGCTGTAAGCATTGGTTATTTTACTGTAAAGATGTGTATTTGACATGGGGGTTTCTGATGCATCCTGGACTTTTTGGGACAGCCTCTGGTGGGCAGTCAAGGAGCTGCATTTTTTTTTTGCCCTTTTCACATTTACTTAATTTTTTTACCACTGGAAGTTGCTGTAAAGATGCTGGAGGTATACAGTCCCCCCAGTTGCATTCCAACTAACTTTTACTTTTTTGTTGCAACAGTATTTCAGTTGACTGTGTGGTATTTTAATGTAAAAGATTTTCTTGTATTAGTTTTTCTATTACCTTTACAGATTCAACTTCCAGGATGAATGCTGCTACTTTGCTTTTGTTGTTGTTGTCATGGTTTTACAAGAATGTTATCAATTGGAAATGTGATGCAGTCAACAACACAAGGGAAAAGATTTGGTGAATGGGATCAACATCAAAGACAGAAATCACATTATTATATATATACATCCAAATACAATGGAATTTTGTATTTCATTTGCTTCTTTCTGTTGACATTGTCCCATTTCTGTTAAGTAGGGCATAGATTTTGGCAGAGGGGGCACACTTAAATCCCATTTGAATGACAAAAAAGCAGAAAAATGTGACATTAAATGGCAATGGCACCAATCAGTTTCAACATTATCAGTCAACTCTTTACTCTTTACAAAACTGTATCGTCTAACCCAACACTGTCACTTTTAATCAGAGATGTTAGCTGCTGCCTCGATTAACCTTACAGATTTGTGTAACACACTATTTAAAGTTTCATGAAAATGGCAACCCTCTTTGATTTCATCCTTCAAGCTTATGTTTCTGTCTTTACATCTTTTCCTAAAATACCAATGAATGGCATTCGTGATTCAGCCGGACAATGACACAATCAAGCAATTGTTGGATGAACCAGATCATTGAAAGCGAGTAAGACTCTTCCCACTCATAAATCCTTGAATAGCATCAGCATTTAAACATCAGTCTGCTTTGGTGCTAATGTTTTCTGACATAGCATACTGTAAGGCCACTCATCTCCAATCAAAACTCTGTCAGAGAGCTCTTCAAACGCCTTGTTGGAAGTTAAAAGCCAATCCAATTGTAATCTGCAGCCGTCAAAGAAATGTAGACAGATTTCTAAAGGCGTTCTTTCTGCACGACTGCTTAGCTACTCCCACGGACCGCAGGCGGAGATTTACATGCTTTTTAGTGTTGAGTGAATGGCCAGTAGCTTTCAGTCCAAATCCCATTTAAGATTTTTTTTTGGTCTGCGGTCAAGTAATTACTTCTAATCAAACAGAGCTTCTTTGTTTCAGTGATGGGTTAATAATGAAATCTCTCCATTATTTTCCGCTCAAATGGAAGCACTGGTGCAAGAAGCTGGAATTCCCTCACAATCTCCATGAAATCTCTAAACCCCCGCCATTGTTTCCTTCTCTGATTCTGTGGTAACTGCAAACTATAGACCAGAGTTTAATTGAATGTCTGACCTGGTTGTAGTTTTATGGAAATACCACAGCATGACGGCTGCATAACATTGGATTTCTGTTGCTGCATGCTTTATGTAAACCATGCAGTGAACTTAGAAACCCTTTGCCCCATGATGCATCACAAGTGAGGATAAGAATAATCCATATTGTTGTATCTAGGCCAAGTAATCAACGCCGCATAACTGGAAAAGCTCTCTGTTGCCAAGCTGTAAGCGTTTCAGTCTGTACTGTATCTCCTCGAATATATGCTTCATCTCTACATGCAGGTTTTTTTGGTGCTTTTCATAGACATAAATGTTTATCACCGATGGAAACCACCATGAATTTATAATAAGAAGTTAAATAATACATGCCATTTTTCTAGCCAAACAGCAGCTCATGTTGTGCACTGTAAAGCCTAGTGAGTGCAGCAGTATGTGTTTTCCTTCCTAGATAAATACACTTAACATTCATCTGTAATTTTACATTATTTTGCGTATTTTGAAGCATGTGTTCAATGGTTTCCAAATACAGCTATTGGTACTTTGGGTATCCCCTAGTTAACCCAAATACTTGATTCCAACAAAGCAACTTAAACTATAAGCTCTTAATGATTGCAACAAGGTTTGGAGTCATAACCATTGACTGTTTGAAGTGAAGACATGTTTTCCAATCTTAAGTCTTCAAGTTTTCAAGCCAAAAGACTACCTCCACATGCACTGGCATCAGTAGCGGTTCTAGGCACGGGCGAACAGGGCAGCCGCCCGGGGCGGCATTTGTGATCATGACTCATGGGGGGCGGCACGAGCACTTCCAAAAAAATAAAATAAAAGATAATAATAATAAATCTTAAGCGCAAAGCGGTTTTGTATTAACTCTTGTTGTCAAATTGGCGCCCCCCCCCCCCCCCCCCCCCCCGCTGCTGTAGGCGCCCCTGCTTGCTCCGAAGGTGCTGCACAGAGGCTGACAGACTGTAGGAGACGAGACGGGGAGAGAGTCGCGGGGGGACAGCTCTGCTCTGTGTACGCACGTCAGCATATCAGCGGGAGCGCGGATACGTCATTTTGTAGTTTTTTAATCATTTCTGGAGTCGTGGTGAATGAAATCACCGTACCCGTCTGCCTTTGATAGGCGCTCGGGTTCATGCTCGGATCTTGCTACGTGCTTGATGAGCTTCATGAGTAAAGTAAACAATGATGGCGGTAGAGAGCAGCTTCAGAGGAGAAACATCCAGCAGTGTGAACAACCTCTTCATATGGAGTGCTTTGGCTCACACTATCAGCGTTTTCCCTGAGTGTTGCATGACTTTGGGTGAGAACAGAGATGAACACACTGTCAGCCACATATTTATTCATTTTTAGTTTTTAGTTCTGCTTTTGCACTGGCACTATACTGGGGCAGCTGTATACCCTTTCAACACCTTATTTTCTATATTTACATTTGTATTGAATGGACACTTTATCATGACTGCCACTGGTTTTACAGAAAGCAAATTATTTGTCATTCTCCAGTGCAGAGCCTTTACTTTTATTTATACAGCCGCTTTATTTCATTTGATTTTGTTTGTTCAAGGTTTTCAAAATGTGATGAAGGTTAGCAAAACTACAAGAGAGCTTTCTTGAAAGCCACATGTTTAAGCTCTCAAATGCTTTTTGAATTTTGTTTCTATCCACTACAGAGGCCGAGATAGCAGCTTTTTTGTAAACCTTAACACTTCAGAAAACCTCAGGATCTGGGGGCCCTTCTCAAAATGGCCCTCAGAATTGTGTTTTTTTCTATTGAAGGATTTCTGCAATTGAGAAATATATTATTTTTGTTGTTATAATGATAATACTACTACATAGTAATACATAACTATCAAAATTCTATCTCTTTTTGTGTTTGTGTGTGTGTGTGTGTGTGTGTGTGGGGGGGGGGGGGGGGGGGACACTTGGAGAGGTGCTCGCCCGGGGCGTAATTTGGTCTAGAACCACCACTGACTGGCATATCGCACTGGTGAGTCAAATCTTTGTACATGCATTGTCAAAATATGCTTTTATTATGAAGTGTACTTTGACTGGTGGAATGTTAGTCACAGAACTTTATGGAAAAAGTCAAAAGAATGGTTTAAAAAAATGTAAATACTCAGTTGATCAGTTACCTGAGGAGGCCCAAGCTTTAAAGGTTGTTTTAAGTTAAATCTTGAACATCAGTTTAAAAGTCCCTAATTATCCCTCACTTAGGCTAGTTAGTTAGGCTATTCATTATAAATATTTTATTGTTCTTAATAAAAGACCAACACCGGCAATACCAGTATATTGCAACAACCTTACTGGTGATATGACATGCTGGGACACATTTAAGTACTGCAGAGCAATCCACTTTAACACAAGTCAGCACATCTTAACCAAATGAGAGCAACATTGACACCTTAATATTCTGTGCTCATAGACTGAATGGATGCCGCCTGCCTCCTCGTTGGGTGAAGCCACCTCGAGAACAGCACCCTCTGGTGACGGGCTGCAGTACAGGTCGTAAATCCTGCCTCCTCTAGCAATCCCTATGGAGCTGTGGACAAACTTTAGAAATTAATTACACAGAAGATACATTTTTCTTGCCCCCAGTTGCAATGTTGACATGTAGTTATTGTAAGACTGGTTTGTGCTCAAGTCCTCTTTTCCCTGTGCAGCTCCATTTTTAAAAGTTATTAGGGGGTTTATGTTTTCTATGATTCACACTTGATACAGACACTTGATACAGAGTACAAAGAT